AAACAAGTCAGTCTGCCAAAAATTAGCTCAATCCTGCAAAAAATAAAAATCGGCCCAAAATGTCACATATGCCCTTTTTGCACGAAACCCTTCAATTATAACTTTTCTGCTAAACTTCACCTGCACTTAAAACGTTGCCATGAAATGCTTAAAATGTAGCTCGAAAAATTCAGACTATACTTTCACTTTTTATTGGTGAGCTTGCGTCATATTTTACCGAGTTTAAATTTTTTTTGTTTATTGTTTCCCTGCATGGGAAATATCAGTTCCTTAAAAAGGATACATACATTATACCTCAATCTATTTCCAATAACTGGTGTAGTTTTCATATTGATTGGTTGATTATTAAGAGTAAAAGGTAAAATGCTCATTATAAATGCTTAGTATAGTCCAGAAAAAACTGGATCAGGACATCTTAACTGTAAAGGAGAGTTGTGAATATACAACTTTTAAAATAACTGATGTACTGTGCACATTCTAATTGGTCAATAGAGTTGCAAAACCTATGTTCTATTGTACCAGTAAACCACCATTCCCGATAAGGCAGCTCTATGCGGGGAGCTAGAGTACTTGGATCACTAGCGATAGCAAATGTAAATATAAACAGTGGCGGCTGTTACTGACTGAGATATCAATAACAAGAATAATTATCTTTTCATTTAACATATGCATGGAAATTTGCAAGGATAAACAGGACCAGAGGTTGGTCAGCATATTAACTTTCATCTTTTTTCCAAGACAAAAATTTTACGCTGACTCCGGTTTTCACTTGAGTTTAAAATTAAGAAAGTTTTAAAACCCTTTTCTTCCTTGTTTTCCATGGTTTATCAAGGACAAAGTCAGCTGGCCTTGACTGATCAATTTAGGTTGTTAAAAAAGCAGCGAAAAGATTTCTTTTGAGTTAACATCAAGCTTTTCAGAAATTTTTATGAGTTTATATAAACACAATGTATGCATGCATAACACGATAAATGAAAATCTGGTTTCCATAAGTTTAGCTTTCAAGCAATAGTTTTCATAAAACACAGAGAAACACACACTTCATAGCCTTCAACATAGGTAAATAAATTCTGAATAGATTTTGGAAGCAGCATTTCTGTAACTAACCTTTATTCCATTCCCCAAACTTTGGAAAGTTGTTGTTGAATAACTTCGCCAAGCATGTGATGTTTGTACCACTTGCAAACTTTTTCTACAGTCTTTCAATTTCATGATAACCAATGCCATCTACACATCCCTGCATTTCTTCATCAAAATACGTTTACATTATTTGATATGCTTTCTGCCTTTCACCAAAAACTTTTTCCTCTCCTCTCTTAAAACTCTCTTAGCGCACCGACTCTGTGCTTTCTTTCTTTCAGTCACTGTGATTGGCTTGTCACATCATCTCATGTATTTGATGAGAATAAGCAACTTGATCATGACAGTACAATAAATTGCCCTCTCATTTACAGACTTTTTCCATAGTTATTTCATGAAAGCAATAGACCACTCTTTCTATGGGTTTACCAGGGCAATAAAAGACTATCACTTGGGATGTTGGGAAAACACTCTAAAAGCTTGTACATGTAAATCTTTTCTCAAGCTTTTCTTGTGTTCTCCCAACATCCCCCGTGATTTGTTGCACCGGTAAACCCTTTGAAAGAGTGGTCTATTGCTTAAATAAAATTAAAGCAACCCCACATTCTCGATTCCAAATACTCTAAAGATATTATTGAACATGCATGAGAAAAAGGAAAGATTGAGAAAACAAAGAGTGATATAAATGTTACTTGACTATATTGTGAAGATCCTTGGAACTTTAAAAAAATTAAGGTGGCACTGAATCCCTTATACATATTTTGTGCAAAATGTTGTTTCTTATCGTGCTTATCCCAATTCAATAATAAATCAAAAGGGTATGTGGAAAACAGATCGTCTGTAAACAGTGGCAATTTTGATGCCACGGTACTGAGGTGCTAATCCATACATTAGGTTAAATTAATGTTAAAGCCCACTGGCATTTTCTAAAAATAGTGCAAAACACAACGGTAAGAGAATACACAAGGAGTTGTGACACTGTTGAAAACATTCATTAAGTTGTCGTTGATCGTTGTCTGACCAAAGCAAGTAACAATTCACATTTTCTTTCCTATTTTTTTTTATTCCAACATTTTCAAATCCAGCCAATCAAGTGTTCAGTACAAAACAACGAAATCTCAACTTGTTCGTTGTGATGCTTGCACAACTACAGTGTCTGGTAATAAATTGGCAAGCTCAAGCCATTAGTAATTTTGCGTTAGAAAATATTTATATTTAGATTTAGATTTTACATTGACAAGCGTGATAAACTGATTAGATTGACCCTGTTCCACCGTGAACATATTGCCACACAAAATATCATTTTCAGGGTTGTTTTTTTCAAAAAATTGAATACTGCTCCAGTTGTCTGTGCTTGTTTCTATTTTTACACAGCTTTGGGTTGTCCACAACTTAATTCTGGGAAAAAAATCATGTTTACTGTCTCAGTAGCTGTACATTTTGGTGTTTGAGCTCCCTTTCTGGGTCATCAGTGTATTGAAATAACATCTTCATCGAAAATTCAAGCGAATTTTCTTCCACGTTGTACCATCGAAGCCTCAGCGTGTAAAATCACTTGAGCAAAAACAAAAGACAATGGCACCTTGCATGGGAACCTCCTGCTTGAATTTTTCTTTCAGCTCCGTCCAGTCACATCACATTTTCCAATTCCTACATTTCGAACCTGTGCACATGCAAAACTGCTCAGAGACCATTTGAGCAGCTTCTTTTAAGCAGCCGCGATAGTATTTAAAGCCTACACCACACACATGTTTACTGTACGAGTCATACTCTTACGCAGCTTTTCTTTCCATGTATTTTCTAAACCAACCATGACCCATAGTTTGAGCTTTACAATTTATTAAGCAACACCATAATCATGTAAATCACAACGAACAAGTTGAGATTTGTTTTGTACCGGGCATTTGTTTGGCTGGATTTGAAAATGTTGGAATCTATTGTTTCAGTTCTGCCATCTGATTGGTTTTCATTGTCTGGATGGCTCCAGTTTCAGTAAACACACTGTAAAGCTAAACTTAAGGGTGTTTTTAACAGGTTGCAGTGTTGCTATGGTAACCTATTATGTCATAAAGATTGCCATTGATGGTTTACCAATGGCTGGGCATTTATGTGATACCAATATTGTAGCATCACGTGATAAACATCACTAAAAGTATAGCTGTTGGGAGGTGCTGGAAACTGTTGCTAGCCTTCTTAAATTGAATTTATGTCATGCCTTCCCTCCCTGCTTGATTATTTTATCATGTGCTACTCCTTCTAAATTTGAATCTTGCACCAAATGAAACATAAAAATGGTTTAAGCCACATGAGTTTTTAAAAATAATTTGCACATCTGCTGCCTGATCATCATAGACCATTTGTTAATTTTGTCTCAGTGGTATCATTGTTGTGTTACAGTCTTTCAATGTGCCACAGTATCAAATAAAGTATTTCATAATAAGACAATGTGGCATTAAGTGATTTCTGTGGAGGAGAAAAGCATAATTAGGAACTTTCGGGCACTCACTAGAAGTGACTAATTCTGTAGACTCAAAAGCGCTGTGGGCACTTACATGTTTTGGGAACCTACAATCTTTTCATTGTTATTTTCCAGGACTACGTTGATGCATTTGAAAAACTGTTGCGACAAAATTTGAGAGAAGTTCAAACCCGGGAAGTGATCCATGTTCTTGTTGACTGCTGTGTTCAGGTGCATTAACTTGACTTTCCTTTATGATCCCTTTCTTGTTGACCTGTTTGTTTTTTTATTTATTTACTTCATTTTCATTGTTTAAATTTGTTTACTGAAGAGCAGTGACAGGCCAAAAACATTCCAAAATCATGGACATGGTAAAAATCAAGTTGCCCAGTCTGACGGAAGTTTCACTTTTGTATTAAACCAAGAACACCAGTTTTATGATTGACTGAGTGGGAGTGCTCGATGAGAAAATACTCCAATCCAATTTGGCTCGAGTTCATGATGCATTGTGTTTCTCTAGCAATAGCAATGTTATATTTCCTGGAAAGTTACAATTGCAGTTCTTTGTTCCTCATTCATTTAGGCAGCATTCTGTTGGTGGCTACAAGCTGCCCAAATTGTGAAATTAGTTAGGAAGTTTTGCTAGGCACTTACATGACTTGTATTAAAAAATAGCTACAATAGGACTAATCTGATGTTATGTCCACTTTGTCAGAAACTCATTGAAAGTAAGAGCTACAGACAGGGTCGTGTACAGTTATCTGGTAACAAGGTCAACAATAACAAAATTAATTGATTTTCAGTTATTGTTCTAGGATACACACCCACTATTGTGTTGTGAGACAGACACTCTCCTGTGCCACTCTTTCTTTTACTACAGTATTCATTTATAAGTGCTGCACGACTTGATTATCAGCTTAGTGACTAAACGTCTTGTTTCTCTTTGTGGAATAACTTAATTCAAATATTGCTATTTTTAGGAGAGAGCATATAATCCATACTATGCTTATCTTGGTCAGAAGTTCTGTGAATACAACCGTAGTTATCAGGTAAATTATTTTTCCTTTTTGTGATATGATACTTCGGTACGAACTTACTTGATATTCTGCTAAATCTTAAAAACTTTATTGAAATCTGAGGAACCTGCATTAAATTATATGCTATTGTTCCTTTCCTTTTATTTATTATTATTTATTATTATTATTCACTACTGATACATTGCAAGACTGGGTGGTTTGCCATCTCTTTTGAAAAAATGCCTCACCTATACATATATAGCTAACTTGTGGTTTTTGCCATGCCCAATCTGGAAGTGCTTTTCAAGATCTTTCAAGCGTACAGAGACAAAGCATTAAACCCGGGTAGAAAGGGTGCTGTTATGAATTCTAACCAAACCCTAACGTTGGAGGCTCCCTGATAAATTTGTACCATGTATAGATTCAAAAATGGCTTTAGGACTTCTGAAGTATATTTTAATCACTTTCAAAGGAAAGCGTTTGCTGAATCAAGTCATCATATGGGATAGTATCCTATCTGGCAATGCTGCTGCGGGATTATCCTCAAACATACAGAAACACAATTCCCCAAGCAATTAACTTCCAAGTTTCAAGTAAAAGTAATCAAAACTTCAAATTCTCAAAATAGCAATGACTGGAGATGAGGGTCCCTCCTCTCTTTTTGACGAAATAAGCTCTGAGAACTGAAAATTTGTAATTAAGTTCTTTCTTCATTTCAGACATTCATTATTCAAGTAAAGTATTCAGTTATCAAAACAAGACTTGTTCCAAAACCTTTTTTTCAGCTGATTTAGAACATGGTATAAGTAACATTCTAGAAAAAAGAAGGTTAAATGTGCTTTTGATGAAGTCCTATTCATGCTTTTGAATTAAATCACCCATTCTATTCACTGCTGCAGCTTATAAAATCATCACTTTTATTATATAGGCACCAGTGTTTTACTGGAAAATACACTGCTCAAAAAATTCATACAAGAACATGACTGGGACTGGGGGTGTATTTTCCCCATGTATATCCTGACTAGTGAAGATAATGACCTCACTGATATCATGTTTGGCCCTTAAACTGTGCTCAAATTTGTTGGTGTATGATTGAAACTTCTTCGGATCATCCTTGAAAGTCTTCGGAAACATTCAGTAATCTTCAGACAGTTCTTCTGGCATTTTCAGAAAATGTTCAGAAACGTTGGTGTGGCCTTTGGACAATAATTTTTGGAGAATCTTCGGAAATCTTCTGAAAGTGGTCAGAAATCTTCAGGAAATCGTAAAAAAACATCGTTATCAGTATATTTATATAATTAACTAAATAATACATGGTTACTTGTAGCTTTGGAATATCTCTCCTCATGTTCATTGTTGTATCTCTTTTATTCACTTGTGAGATATCAAGTTGAACACTGGAAGAGATGTTCCATATCCACAAGAAACCACCTATTATCCTCTGTACACTCCTAATCTTTGGGTCTGTAAAAGCTAAATACGTCTTTTAGAAGAACACAGTACTGATGGGCTATTTTATCGTGTTTGCACCACAGAGAAATTTACAAGCGGTACTAGTACTGCGATTGTTGTGAAATCAATGACCAACCATCTGAACTTAACTGTGCTAGTGAACAAAAGAATTCATATAAACCATCCAGGTTACCTTTTTTTCAGGTTACTTTTCAATATTCATTCTGGGACAAGTTTAAAGTTGTTGGCAACTTGGCGCCTCACAGTGTTGTTAACCTGTCACTTCTCATAGCTCACCTGATTGCTACCAGAGCATTATCTTTAGCCATTCTCAAGGTAATGAAAATAACAATAGAAGGCTCTAAATAGACTCACCTGGGCCGACTAATGCTCCAAGGTTCCACATTTTTCCCTTGAAAGGGATTTCAAAGTCATACAACTCACTGGCTCAATATAAAAATATTAAATGTTATTATTATTATTATTATTATTATTATTA